GGACCATAATATTAAAAATAATTACCTCTAGGTTTGTTTATGAAGCACGTAAAATCGACTGCTTTTGTAGTAATAATTACAACTCCAGCTGATTTGTAGAGGACAAATTAATCGATAAATTCATAGCCTCATTGAAATACAATGGTAGTTTATGCCTCAGTATTGGTGAGACGCCACTTTTGTACATTTAAATTAGCCTTCTTGTACCTTGCTGGATGGGCTGGCCTTCAGGCCATGCCAATGGCCCAAGCACCTTCTCTGTGCTGAATATATATATTCTGTCCAATTATTGTATCTTTTTTCGTCTTCCAGGAATCTCGGGACGCTACGGCATGATTATGAGTGCAGGTAGTGGAGTTGCCTTACCTTGGTGCAAGCAACAACAAAAAACGATATTAAAGCTGTTCTCGCGAGTCAAAGCGGTATAACTGCGTAGAGAAAATAATTAGTACGTTTGATTATGCGTTTATCGGTTCATTCTGGTTACACGGGCACTTAAGGGTGCATCTTTGTAATTCCTATGGACGTTATTGCCGCCGTACCACGCTAGTAACCCTCCAGGCTTTCTTTACGTCGGCAACGCATCCTGGCCTAGCATTATGACTTCTTTCATCCTCGGGAAGGGCTGGGGCGCTACGCAAAATCCACTGAATGAAAAAGAGGCATGCGCACCTAAGTCCAGGTCTTTTAAACTAATGCTGTAAGATGGAGGTGACAAGGCATAACATTAGTACCATGAGGACAGTTAAGCAACTATTATAAAATTAACTTTCAAACTTTACGATACGTAGTAAAAAGTTTGAAAACATATATTTCGATAATCAAAAATCATATTTAGGGAAACTGTGCAAAACAATATGCGTACTAGCAAATTAACCCGTTGAAGTGATCGCTATTTGTTATACTTATTCAGGAAACAGCCTAGGGTCTACGCGGGCTTCCCAAACAACCTCAGGGCCGCGGAAGTCGAGCGTCGGTGCTTTCCATTATCAAGTTGGCTTTGTTGGAAGAACTTTGCCTCTTACTTGTTTCGTATACATAAAGATCCTTTGATCTAATCCTTTGTTTTGGCTATTGAGAGTTTCAAATGTATTAGTTATTCATTTTAGCTATAAGGTTCTTCAACTTAATTACTGACGTGTTTTTTCACAAACCTCATGTACTTTTTAACTTAAAATGGTTTTTTAGTGTCCGAGTACAGCGCGATAAAGCTTTTTTTAAGTAACTCACTAGCAACAGTCCGTACAGGGTACGTAACTTTGCTTTACAAACCCTTTTTTGCGGTAATGTTTGTTTATTTACGTTTACTTTCTAATTATAAAACATTGCGCATAAGGGAAGTTGATTTCTAGCCTGAATTATGTTATCTCGGAACAGGCTAGTCTGTGGTTCTGATCATTCATAGCGTACAGTATTTCAGGTATGATTAATGATTATAGTCTTCATTAGTAGTAGATAGTAATGAGACTTACGAATTATGATCTTGATAGGACTTTTTTGGCGGTAATTCCTTAGAACTGCAATACTTTTTAGAGTAAAAATGTGGGTGGGAATACTTGGGCCCCGTAAGAATATGCTTGGTTTTTGGAAATGACTGAAAAAACTAAAATAAGTATGATGATGACCAATTACTAATTAATTATCATAACCCAGTTTATATTTGGTACAAATAATTGTTGCTTGATTTTTTCATTTTTGATAAAGTAAATCTAAAATTATCAAGCAAAACATTTCTTTACTTGTTTAGCAGTAAACGGCAATATAACAGTAAATGTGTTTACCCATATTCTAGCCGTTGACAGTATCATTATAGCACTGTTTTTTAAGTAGTTGTTTTTTAGTAACCAGCATCCAAAACTATGAAATCTAGTGGTATTATTTTGCTTAAGATGATAAAAAAATGTGTACTAAGTGCGCTTCTAATTACTCTTGATATCTTTGTTTTCTCTTATTAGATCTATTATTAAATGGCGAAACCTATTGGCACGAAAACCAACCACGCTACCGCTCATCAGATCGCTGATCCTGGATTAGAGAATAATGAAAGTTCTAGTGACGACTCCATTTCTCTTGAAAATTATCTCGATACATCTGATAAAACTGAAGAGAAAGTTTATCCAGAGTCCACGTGCGCAATTTTTAATGCTCAAATTCATATTGCTTTGCATTCTTATGAGAGTTAAATGGATAATTATACAGAAAAGCAAATTCATAATTTCGATCTACTATTTTTTTATCGTTATCAAGGTCTGAAGTGGGCAACTTGAAAAACGAAGATCAAGGTGATGGCGTAAAACTAAGGCCTCACGTTGAAGCTCCTATAGACAACCGTACAAAGAAATATACGAGGGAATCTCGTAAACGAAGGACCTTGGATGAGTTCCTTTGTAGAGGTAAAACATGCAAAATTTACCCATCCTTTCTATTTACAAATAGGTGGCATTGGGAATGAACACGAAGGAGGACTGTCAACGGACTCCAAAGAAATAATTTCAATTCCTCAAACTCCGGTCAGTATTAGCATTTAGTAGCCAAGCTTGCACCCGTTATACTTATTAGCCTCTTCCTATTCTTTCTAAGACACAGGTAGCCAACAAAGTCAAGGATTTGCCTGCACAGGTATCCCTCGAAAAAACAGTGGAAGCAGAATTCAAACGCATGCTTGAAAATGAAACTCAAAATTCTAAAGATCTAGTCGAACTTTTCCAGGTAAGAATGAGGAATTTATACCGTAACAATATTTGGAATTTTAATGTGATGATTGAAACGGTAATAAAATGCCCGGTTTTAGTTTTTGATTACTTTTGAGATGATACCTTGGAATACATCAACAAAATTTGCTTCTCTCCTTTTGTAATGTTATTTACTTAAAATATTCTTTCTTCTTCTCTTTGAAACAACGCCTTCTCAGAAGAATTATGCATGAACCTGACAGCTATGATTAATATTAAACCCTTCCATTAGTAATTGTGAGATGATGTGGAAACATCATTGGTTACGCTACCGCTAATGATCATATTTGACAACGTATTGGACTGTATAATTTTTAGACCAAATCGTCCATACAGAATTTACTCGGAAAGCATACCTGTGCAGACAGTTTTGCAATTTTAAAGGAACTACATGGAGTACAGGGCTGGGTAGTGTCTCATCTTGACAATATTTGCAATGAAAAATCTCGGAATATCGAAGATTTGATTAGCAAGCTCGTAAGCTTTGTGAAGCATTTTTGAAAAACGCTACTATTTTGTAACTTTTTAGAGCCCGAAACACATTATCTTCTCAAATTGACTGTCTAACTTCCTTAATTGAGATGAACATAGTGTTTTGCTATTTTGGGACTTTTGAGGTTTAAAAATATTCTACTCATCTTAAGGTGGTAATATTTAGCATAAAAAGGGCAATTTTAGGGAGATTTTTAGTGGGTGTGGCTAATTAATTGACGTAAAAGGTTAAAGTAAATAAATGCTTTTGATTTCAGTGTGAACGTCAAAAGCTGCTTTCAAAGTATGCACAATCGGTGATTCCACGAGTGACTAATTTCACGGTGAAACTGCAAAGCAAAGCTTCGTCGGTAGGTTAAATTCTCTCGTTTAAGTCTCGTGTGTAACTGTGAGAAACTCTTTTTTCTGTGCCATCTCACATGCCCATGGTTTTAATCACATTGATGCCTCATGCAAATTGCGAGATTACTCAAGCAGATAGGAAAGCATTTACTGTTTGCGCTTTGGAACACAGCAATGGCCCTAGTATACGCGACTTCGGACTTACAAGTCATTTAACGATATTTTTTTGTGGCTTTCAAACACTTATAACCACAAGCCGGCATTCGAAAATTTAAATAATTCCATAAATAAATGTGCATTTTTAGTTATTTCACCGAAATATGGGTGAGTTGATCACAACCCAATTTTACTATTTTGTTCTAAAAGGTGACAACACACTGTTTAGAATTTTCGTTTATTTTTATTTACAGAACTTTTGCAAAAACCAGTGTCCTGGATCCAGCAAACAGTTGGAAGTATTGAGGTAAACTTTTGTCACGTAAATATGATCGAGTAATAGAACGCTTGTTTTCTATTGGCAGAAAATAAGCAAAAGATCTTTAGATTATAACATTGGTAGGAAGCATTATATTACTGGTAAGACATTACAATGTGTTAAACGCGATTGGGACTTCTCGTTATAGCGCCTCAAAGAATGCGTGAAACCGGACGATCCCAGTTACGAAATCATCGCTGTTGCCCAAGAGGAACTATTAGACATATCAAGTGACTTAGTATCTGCAAGGCAAGCCAGAGAACCGGTGAGTTCAATGCAACTCATAGCATAAATTTTTATATTTTCTTCCTTGAATAATCAGCTTTCGATACTGGATCATTACAGTTACCTTGCTCCTTTAAAGGCTCTTTGCTTACTGGTTTTACAAACGCCACACAGCTTTAGATTATAGGTATGAACACAAAGAAGGGATAACATTCTAGACGTCAAAGAATTTAGAATGTTGCGATGAGTGTCACATACATGATGACCCTGCTTAAAATATCCTTTTCAATTCTTTTTTTTTGTTTGACAGTTAAGTTGCCTTATTGGGCCTTTTCAACTAAACCAAATGAAATACTCAAAAAATCTCCATTTTAGCTAAAATATTCCGTACTGGTTGAAATGCGCAACCCACCGAACGGAGAACGCAAATTAATGTCCGTCTTCCTTTTCGACAATGTTCTTGTTTGCGCTCGCCAAAGAGTTGTCGTCCTAAGAAAGTAAACCAAAGCATTTCTTTTTTTCGCTTAGTTTGAACGATGCGGCTTAAATAACTGGACACCCAAAGCACTACGACGTGTCATATTTGCATAATAATTCTTATTTTGTCAGTATTTTAGCTATACTAGTAGCAGCTGGTATGCTTT